TTTCAGAGGTTTAGTCCATTATCGTCATGGCTGACTCACAAGCAACAGGAAGTGGTCTGTCACACTGGGCGTGGCTTGAGCATATGAGACCTCAAACTTCCATAGTGACACACTTCCTCCAACAAAGCAACACCTCCTGATAGTACCAGTACCCTTGGGGACCATTTTCTTTCAAACCACTCTACCATCCATGGCCGGCCAGAGTATAAGTTCCTTCAGAACCGTGGCTTGAGAGTTCTGTAATTGGGGCAATGGCAGAATATCCAGGAGGAGTTTCATTGAGGGTCCAGTTTTGATGGGGTACCAGAATCCAGAGGTCTGAACCTGACCAACAATTCTGTACAATGAACATTTGCAAGCAAAGCAGAGTGGACCAAAGGGTCCGCTGTGTGACGTTCACAGCTCCCAAGGCCACTGAGATTCACGGAGAGGTGTGGGAGAGATGGGAAAGATGGAGGAGTGAAGTGCTATATTTTGTTTTTAATTAATATTTTTAAAGGGGGACCCTGGGAGTGAGGCGCAGATATGGAGGGACTGGGGAATGAGCGGGATTGGGGTGCATGATGTGAAATTCCCAAAGAATCAATAAAAAAGTTTAAAAATTATTTTTGTTGCTACTTCATAATTGTAATTTTGTGACTTTTATGAATAATAATATAAATAGCTGTGTTTTCTGATGGTGTTCAGCGACCCTGTGAAAGGCTTATTTGACCCCAGAAGGGATCATGACCCACAGGTTGAGAACCACTGTTGTAACAAGATGACGGGAACAGCTTGCTTTCATTTTCTCCCTGACTGTGCCTCACGCTCTAGCTGCCCTGTCTTCCCCAGCATGATGAACTGCTCCCTTGACCTGTGAACCATGAAGAGCCCTTTCTCCCTGAAGTCGCTTGTGCCAGGGCATTCTCATCTTAGACACGGGAAAAGTAAGCAGGACGGCACAATTATAAAAAGGAGGCTGTGTTGGGAGAGGAGCCGGCAACTTCAGGTTCCCATGGAGGACTTCCTCACAGCAGGTTCTCGTGTTCAAGGTGGTGTTTCCTGTCACCACGGCTACAAAGTCTGAGTCACCGTGTGTGAAAGAGTGGTCAGTAAGGCCATGTGTGGTATTGGGCGTGTGATTGTCTGACAGACAATGATGCAGGGAAAAGTAAATGATATCTTTTAATCCCACAAGTGCTCAACGGTCTGGCCACACACAGTAGGGCCACGTTAAAAGGAGAGAAGTTCGCTATCATCAAGTGACAATGACAGAATTGTTCAAAAACAAAACCCAGCACAACAGAGTGTTGTGTTCAATACTCTGTGCTCACGGGTCTTGTGGGAGTCCATTGGGAGCATCTTTCCCCAGCTGCGCGCGCAGGGAGGTCAGGTAGCAGTTTGAAATCCACCATGTTGGAAGTATTGACATGGCAGAATGAGCAGGTGCTACAGATGAGGGACGTTAGAGTCTGAATCTCATCTGCCCCAGAAATCACATCCAAAACGTCTTTTTTTTTTTTTTTTTGTAGGATAGGCACAATAAGAGT